CAAAGCGCTGGGGATGGTGGGTGGGTCAAAAAGAGACGTCAACGAGCGGGAGACGTGGTGGAAGAGAGCGAAGGCGACTAGCGCCCACGGCCTAATTCGCTCTCTTCCATATCCGTCCGCACGCTTAGTAAGCACTCGTTAGGCCTAGCGCTCGTACCTCGCTCTGGGCATAACAGCACGCTTCCTAATTGCGTGCTACCGTTGGTCCGAGGGGGGGAACAACAGAAAACTAAACTTGAACGCTGAGTCATTTCCAGCGTAGCGCTTTCCGCAGTTAAGTTTAGTGCTAGTTTCCATGTGTGGGGGGAGACGAGAGTCCTCCGGGCCGGTCACGTGACCTACGCGGGCACGGGACCTACGCGTCGCGTCTCTCGGACGCGTCTCGCTGCTGCCTGGTGCGCTGGGTCGCTCTCCGTTCGGAGGCAGACCGCGCGCTGCTCAAACCAGGCGATTACCGCGAGGTAACGCGAAACCGGAAGACTCCCGCTCGAGCGCGAGGTGGCGAGACCGACTCGCCCCCATGAGCGAAGCACAACAGTCGGGCTCGCCTCGCCTCGCGCCCCCGCGCGCGCGTGCGCGCGCCCGACTCACCCCACACAAAGCGAGCTCGTATCAGTTAAATACACATAATATCATATTACGATGGTGCCGCGTTTCTACGCCGGAACTCGTCCATAGTGTTCGACAACAACTGTATCCGAGACTGATCGAAAGACTTAGAAATAAAGAGAGGCAGAATGGACTCGATTTTCCTCCAATACTCGAGGAAGGCTTTGGACTTCCAGCCGCCCTGCGTCGCGACAATGTCCGGATGCGTACCGCGTAACAGTAATTCAGTAGCTCCACCTATCCGGAAACAATGACCTGTAAGAACGCCAAGTCCTGCCATCGTCCAAACACCGTTGCACCGGTTCAAAAACCAGTCGCGAGTCATCGGTGCCCACCCCGCGGATTCACCATTCGTCTCGAACGCGAACATCGGCGCACCCGACGGGAGCGCGCGGTTCATTACTCGATGGTGTAGAAGTGCGGTCACCGGGTCGGTGGGATCGGGGTTCGCCGTGAGTATGATGTTAGCGCCCTCGCGCTTCGTGGTTTTGGTCCAGGGAATGTGAAAGACCGCGTATCGTACGTCGCTCGGAAGCGTACGGACTCCTACATCGACGCCCGCTGCGACGTGCTTCTCGCCGTCGAAGCCGTGACGCGACGGAACGATGAGCTCTCCTAGCCTACGCACGTCAGTACTCGCGCGCGCAGTCGCTCCTATCTCGCGTACCTTCTACATCCCCAAAACGCGCAGCACGCAACAGCGAACACCGCCGCGTCGAAGGTGTTAGACAAGTCTAGGCCCGTGAAGAGCGCGTGCATGTGCTCTAACGTCACGGGTGGCCTTTTCGCCAGCGGCGGCGGTTCTACTTTTTTCGCGCCCTTCTTGACGTAGGTGAGAATGCTGCCCCCCGGCCATTTCGCGCCGTTGATGGCGTGCCACACCGCAAGACCCGATAGCCAGCTGCCTATGGTGTCGTGCCTGACGACGCCCGCGTGCCTCGCGATGAAGGCTGCTACCAGCGCCTCCGGCGCCGGCATGCGCATTGCCTCCGGGATGCCCAGTTCGTCACAGAATTGAGTGAACCGTAAAAGGCCCGCTCCGTAGTTCTTCCGAGTTCGGACGTCCATGCCCTCCGAGATGATGTGAAAGAGTCGAGATGATGCTGCAGGAGAAATGAAAGCGCCAAGATCTTGTCGGAATTGAGTCGCGTGCGGGGATGTCCATTTTGTGATGCGTTCATCCGCCAGCACGAATGGTCGCAGCGAAGACGCCGCAATCATGTTTTGAGGTTGTGGTCGACGAGGTTTGCGTTGACGAAGCGTTCGCGACGAGAGTACTAACGCGGTGGACCCGACCCGGGCCACCGAACCGACTGCTCCGCTTGTCACCGCGCCCGATTGATGGGGCGTAAGCGTGGTTGTACTAGACATGAGTCAGGTACGGGGCCAGCTCGTTCGGCATATCAAAGCCGCTACGGAAGCGCTTCAACGCGGGGTCCGGTGCGCCGCGAGACACCGAGTCGGCCCTGTTGATTTTCGTGTTGACATATTCCGGATGTGCGAAGAGGTTCCGCGCGAGGCAGAGGAGTTCTGTGCGTCGAATGGATAAGTTGACCTGCCAATTCCGACTCCGTCCCTTCCGGAACGCCTTTATGACCCCGTCGTTGTCACTGCGAATGAGGAAGTCTGCGTTCCGCCATCCGAGCTCCTCGAGCCGCCTCATCAACAACTCGATCGCTACCATTTCCGCCCAGCCGATGTCTCGGCCCTGCGCGTGCCAGACCTCGTACGGCACCGCCCACTTCCAAGCGTCCCATTCGTCCCCGATGATGATCCCGATACCCCAGTTAGATGACGCGTCGACCCACATGTCCAGATCGCGCATCTCTCCCCGAGGCACCAAAGGCCGCTGGATGCTCGGCGACGCGAGAATCGCTCGCCACCACTTCAGATCTGAGACAACTGACTTCGGCGGGTACCTCCCCGCGTGTTCGTTCGAGAACGACGCGATGAAGGTGCTCAGACCAGAGAGGTACGACCGCCCCGACACATACACAAATGTGCAATGAGATAGCGTACCATTGAGCTTCTGCATCGTCTTGAGGTCTACGCGCCCAGCGCCGTCCTTCGCGTCCGCGAGCGCCGCGTCCAGTCGGCGCAAGTACTTCTCGCGCTTGCCCTCGGCGAGCGCGACCGTCCTGTTCGGCAAATCCCATACGAAACCCGCGTACACCCCTGTGAACGCGTGCCTCGTCCATTTCTCCTGGTGCAACGGCACCCCTAGGCGCTCCGCGAGCTCGAATATGTCGTCCACCGAATGCGCGTAGACCCAGTCTCCGTTCGGTCCCACGCCCGTCGGAAAGCGCATGTTGTTTAAGTCGTCCACCCATTTCTTGTTCGGTCCCCATAGACGTACGTCGAGCAACGCGACAAAAGGGTCCATCACGCCCCCTTGCAGACCCGGCCCCGATCCGATACCGAAGCAGCAAACGTGGTTGATGAGGAAACGTTCCGGTCGTGCTTGTACGACGAGGTAGGCTTTGTGGGGAGGCCAGATGGGTATCCGCCGAAAGGCGGAGTCGATGTCTAGAGTGGCCATCTGTGCGCCCGGCGGCGCGGTAGCCACCTGTAAGAGAAAAGGACCATGAGCTTCTGCTCTAACGCGCCCTGCGCTTCTCGCGACTCGCGCGCCCCTGCCGTAGTCCGCGCGACTATGCGAGACGAACAAATGTCCGCCATCCGCGCGTGCCTCTGCACCTCGCGCGTGCTTCTGCACCCTCGCGCGTGCCTCTGCACCCTCGCGCGTGCCTCTGCACCTCCGCGCGTGCCTCTGCACCTCCGCGCGTGCCTCTGCACTCTCGCGCGTGCCTCTGCACTCTCGCGCGCGCCCTTCCGTTGCGCCACTGCGCGCGCCTCGTGCGTCTGCACCCGACAGAAATTAAAAGAACTCACAATCTCAGCGACCTCTGCCGCGGTTCCCCACTTCGTCGGGAAATCGTCCGAATCGATCATGTCGTTCACCGACACGCCGAACTCGTCCGGAAACGAACAGTTCTGGATCAGACGCCACTTCCCGATCGACCCCGCCTTCTCGACGACGGAGAGCGGGGACGACCGGAAATGAGATCCCAGGATCTCCTCCACTCGCACCCGCGAGTACGGCCCCGTCATGTGGCCCAGAGCGACTTGCTCCGCCACGTATTCTTCAATGAATTCCATGTTTCTTTCCCTCCCTTGTGGTTTTCTGGCGTAAACGTTCTC